TGATCCACACACAAACCTCACTTTCTAATCACTTTCAGAAATTGCTCATTAACTACTTCTCAGCTATTAGAGATGTTCAGAATGACAAGTTTGAAAATGCTGGGTGAGTCTGCCTTCAATCCTGAATGAAAGAACATTTTAATCATAAGCTTAAGAATTTAAAGAATCTGAAATAAACAGCAAAAAACTAAATAAGACTTTGAACTTAGAAAGTTATAAATGAGCTAAGGGTGCAGATAAAATTGGAATGTTGAAACTTTTACAGTGAGATTTTGAAATTAATTATAAAGAACAAATAGCTTCTTGTGGGAAATAGTTTCTGTTTTGGGTTTTTACAAGGCAAAACACAGATAAGGAATTTCATGATTTCAAAAACTGGACACTAGAGGGAACTAAAGTTTTTAGGTAGAGGAAAGATTTACAAACCTGTAAAATGTTGCAAAACTTTCTAACAATGAAAATACTGAAGGAGACTTTTGAGGAATGGAATCAGAAAATAGTAGCCACCATATCAACAATGTCAGTAATGATGTCTGCTTCAGTGGATAGACTATGTCCAAAAGATGTTATTGAAGAAATGACAGATGTGGAACATTACAGAACACTCCCTCACTCTTTTTTTTTCCAGCTCCAATCCCATCTGCCAATGAAAGGAAACCTTTCACTCTATCTTGTCCCATACCAGATAGTAGTATAGATTCCACCTCACATGGAAATCAGAGGATTGGACTTGAAGCACCCACAATCAAAATATTTGGATGAAAGCCAAACAAGACCCCAGTACAACTTGATCAGCAGTTGGAGAATAAGATCTCTACCAGGCTGGATATAAGACTGTGGATAAGAACAAAACAGGCAGCAAACTAGGCAAGGTAGAGAATGAGCCACAGGGTAGATCATCAAGAAGAGCTATACGTCTGCTCTTGTGTCAGGCCTTCAAGGTAGGCAAGGGCAAGAAATAGGTGTTGCTAGAAATCTCAGAATGTATTTTAATGCAGTTAGGGTATTGTAACAGAATTTTGAAAGCCTATTAAAGCCCCTCCCTACTTCAACTTACACTTAGCACAATCAAGGCAGAGTTGTTTTGAGGGTTTTTTTTTTCACAATTTCTATTTTCCCTAGGTTACCTTGGCAACAATAAATGGATTTAAATTGGCCACAGTGGAATTAATGAAATATTGGCAAAGGAATTGGTTGGGTTTTCATGGAACCTTTCCATAGGCCCACAAAATTTGAGCTGAAAGTGAGATTGTCTGTATATAATTGAGCCAATAGTCTAGTTCTTTTTTTTTTTTTGAGGTAAGCCACAAAAATATGTCCATATTTAAAGGGGAGGGGACCCACTATTTTTCAGGTGCACTGGCAACCTAAGCATTGGTTTATCAGGTTTCAAACAAGCAACAATGGGCAGATATTGACACCAGTAGGAAATAAAAACAAGAATAAAAAGATTTGAAAACGCTATTTCCTACTGATAGACTGTGATTCAGTACTACCGATCCTTGTCAAACTAATATTCTGTTAATGGAGATGAAACAAAATCTCAATTCAAATTCCAACTATTCCAACTTTTTTAGAATTTATTTTAATTAATATTACAGTTGAAGAATTTTCATAGCATTGACTGACTTCATGGCTTATCTGCCATACTGTACTGGAAGGTTGCTCTAGGTTATAGTAGAGAAAGTTTGGTTATATTAAATACAATTTCCAACTAAAAAAACAATTGAAGTAGTATTTGCTACTGTGATATCCTTAACAGATATGTTCATTGCAGAGTTGTTGGCCAATTGCCTCTTACTGCATTAAAAAGCATTAAAATGATACCACCTGGAAGTAAAAAGGGCAGGGTTTAGACAGAAATAGAGAGACTGTGTTTTGTACTAGACAGGGGAATGCCAAATATTTGAAAGGCTGTCAGAAATAGTGATATGCTAATCACAACTCAGCAGGAGTTGGAAATTGCCTGTCAACAGTCCTCCATGAGGTGTGTCAGGGAACTTTTTCCATTATAGAGAGCTGTCCTTTCCAAACACTTTGGGCAGTTTCAAGCAAAGAATGGTAAGAATGGAGAGCAGGGGCTTTGAATTGGCCTTCAAGATGGAGCATCGGGGTAACATCTAAGCATGAGATCGCAGTTTTTGTTATGCGGAAACATATTGTCTTTTTTCTTAAGTTACAGTTGTCATATCTATTTTTGCCCATGCACACACAGAGACAAACCTAGTGATTCACATATGCAGACCTTATGAAAATATATGCCTATTTTTGTCCTCTCTTTTGGGGAGAATATATAAGCAGTTACCACAGATGAATGTATCTGAGCTTAATTGGCATTGGATGCAAATAACATACTTCTATTCCTCTGGTTTTTCATTGTGGGTTTAGAATCAGTGATTGTTCTGTTTTTAACCAATATATAGTACTTGACAATTTTTAAACACTTTATAAAAGATAAACCTGACAATTATTTAGAATTAAGAAATAAATTCTAAATACTAAGAGGTTACAGCTTCTGAGTTATGATGGCTTTGTGGTCAAAATGGAGCAACGGAAAGTAAGAGACAACTATTAGCATACTTAGAAAAACATCACAAAGATATTGAAAATATACACAGGGGATGTGGGAGAGAGATAGCATGGTGTAGTAGTTAAAGTGCAGGACTAAGAACCCAGGTCCTCCCTTTGGCATGAAAACCAGCTGGGTGACTTTGGGCAAATCGCTTCCTCTCATCCTTTAATCAGCATCAGGCTCTGCAACAAGCCAGCTGAAATATATATTTAAAAATTACAGGTAGTCCTCATTCAGCAACCACTTGTTCAGCAACCATTCAGCACAGAACGAAGAGACTTACAATGGGTCCTCGTAGTTGTGGCTGTTGCAGCATCCTGCAGTCCCATGATCACCATTTGCGACCTTCACTGCTATCTTCCGACAAGCAAAGTCAATGGGAAGCTAATAGGAGTTCACAAATGGTAATCACATGATATTGCACCTAACGACCATGCAGGATTTGCCTAATGACAGCAACTGGAACTGCCCAAATTGCTCTCGTAAGTCGAGGAGGTCATGTGATGTTGCGCTTTACAACTGTGTCACTTAGTGATGGAGTTCTCCATCCTAATTACCATGGTTAATCGAGGAGTACCTGTACATCATTTATTGATAGCTTCACTACAAGAACTGCAATAACCCCAGTCAAAACAAGCACAGTCTGCGACAAACTCTAGGAACACCATATACTAGGAGTGGGAGAAGAACACTCTAAAGGAAGCTGAGTGGGCACAGAGTACTGAATTTTGGAGTAGAGAAAGTGAAAAATTGTGGAAGTCTGATAGAATAGAGGGGGGTACGGCGGGGGAACTCTATGCTGCAAAATTGTACGTTCTGTTGTTGTCTCACTTGTTATTACTTATTTTCCAACTGCTAATGACAAATTAAAATATACCTAACAGAATGGACATCTGCTTACTTCAAATTGAAAAATTACACATGCCAGGCAGTTAAATAACATTGCACAGAAAGTTAAATGAAAACCTCTTTATTTAAATACACATGGGCACACACACATGCGCACACACACACATTCCTTTGTATCACATTCTGAAGGCATCAAAAAAAAAAGGGAACTCAAAGCAAGAAACCATATAGTTAAAAAAAAAACCATACATAGCTTCAAACTAAACAGCATCACTGGAGGATACTTGTCCTGAAAACTAAAACTGACCAAAAAAAACTTTACTAAGCAAAACTGTTTTCTTCAGTTACTTAAAAGGTATTAGAGTAAGTGGCAAGCAAATCTGTTTGGATAGAGCATATCTCCACTGGAACATTATACCAAAGAAAGTCCTCTTCCTAACAAATATGGACATAACGTCTTTCCAGTTTCTGGAGAACCAACACACCAAACAAAAGGACAATATGAATGTTGCCCCTGAAGCCTTACCTTTTCTCCCTTGTGGCCTGGCAAACCAGCTACCCCTGGCAATCCTGCTTCTCCCTGTTGAGAATAAAGCTAAGATATTTATTCTAGAATCTTATATATGAAAAAAAAAAAAAAAAAGTAAGCAATGACCTACAGATAATGCCCTTACAGGGTATATGCCCTTGCTTGTATAATATGCCAAAGCTTTATCTTGTGGCAGTATTATTGAAAGAAATGCCTTGGTGACACCCACAGCTGTTAAAACAAAGAAAGTCCTCTTCCTAACAAATATGGACTACAGTGGTTTTGCGCTGTTGCTCAAGGTGTTCAAGAGATCTAAGCTGATGTTTTTGATTGGAATAATATTGGAGGATGTTACAAAAGCCATTTTCTCTAATGCAGGGAGAACCAGTCTTACACCTTTATCCCTGGGATCAGGAATCTGTGCCTCTGCAAATGCTGCTGAATTATAACTTCCACTATCCCTCATTGGTAGCCATGATGGTATGGACTGGTGGGGGTTGTAGTTCAGCAACATCTGGAGAGCACCAGTTTTTCAAGCCTTGTTCTAAGCAGTTCCCTAAACAGCAAGCACTACAGACTTCATTTCTGGATAAGTTTATAGATCCTATTTTCTCCCACTTTTTGCTTTCCCACCCAGAAGATATACTTGTTCACTGATATGCGGAATATGATGATGATTCTGTATTTTTAATTTTTTTTCTGTATTTTTAATTTTTTTTATTTCTAATTCATTTTCTGTGGGAAACAGAGTAAACTGAGATGAGTACTGTACATCCTTTGTGCACACAGCCGCACATATATGCATATATATCCAAACATTTACCGTATTTTTCTGACAATAAGACGACCCCATGTACAAGACGACCCCCACTTTTCCAACCCAAAATTAAGAAATC